GTTCTGATTGGGCCAATGAAACGGGTAATGCCATGTAGTTTGCAATGAGTGTATTTTGTCAGGACAGTAGAATTGTCTATCATATTTGCCAGGTGAATATGACATGTGTAGTCAAATAGTTTACTCCCATTTAAAAAAACAAGTTGTTCTGATGAGGTTTCAATATTTGAAATACATATTTGTTTTGTGACGACTGGTGGAAAATGAAAGTAGAAAATGAAAGTAGTAAACTCACTAGAGGTCCCCAGTAAGTATATAAATAACCAATTCTAATAGCTGGGATAAACTGAGATGTGGCCATTACTAGGAAATATAAATTCAGGAAAAATTTAAACTGTTCGAATAACACCTGGAAAACAGATTTAAAATAGTTACAATATTCCAGTCAACTGCCTGTAAATGGATACTGAATAAGTCATCTTCACTCAGAATTCTAGTCAACCTAATAATAAATTTGTATGAATAATCCAGGGAAAGATGGGTGCAGAAAGTTTTAGTCTGATACCAACAGGCCAGTATCTGGTTGACAGGATCCTCATGAACCTCAGTTGTAATCTTTGTAAAAATTGTTTTTTTTTAAAGAAATTGACAATAATATCATGACATGAGAATATTTTGACAGTAAATAAAACAAACCTTTGGTATAAAAGTAATAACACTGTATTTCTGATTTCGGACGACATTTTTCGTGTATTTATGTTGATGTCCAGTAGCTAGACCGATATAAATAGTTCTGTCACGATATTCTTTCTCTCCACAACAACATCCAAACATTTTCTTCCAACAGCTAAAAAAACAGACACACAAAATAATGAAATTTGTATCTTATTGGACTAATGAAATGAAATACAAAAAAAATTCAAAAATAATTATTAATAAAGAGTTTATCATTATAAGGGGCTGTTTATTTCCCGATCTTAGCCAGTCATGAATGATTCAACAGCTAAAATGGCTGGCAATTTGAGGGCATTTTTTGAACAAAAAGTTGACAGGCGATACGAATATAATAAGGCTAAGAATTTCTTGTAACAAACAAAACTATCAATAAATACATAATGATTTTCCACTGACATCTGTCACATCAAATTATATAGCTAGATTCCTTATCAGATTATTCCTTTGCCTAACTTATAGATAATTAAACTTTAGAGCAATGTCACAGTTTCCTTGCAGCAGATATCCCAAATACAGGTCCTAAATGACATGCTTTGAATGATTTAAAGTAACGTCGTCATAGAACAGGACCACGGTAGAAAACTTGTTAGATTACAATAGAGCAAAAATATTGGGCATACAACTTACCTTCCACACATATCCCACCATCCTTCAGACAGGAAATACCCGATACCTTTATGCCGACCATATCTGTTTTTCCGCTCCCGCATGAGCTGGTCGTTTTCATCCATTTCTATTGTTGATCCTCCACACATTAGGGGAATTTCATCCAAATAATCATCACTTGCTTCAACCACCGTATATCTAACAAAATAAATATTCCATATTGTTTTATCATCATTTTTATTTTACTCGATACTTAATTATTATTAATTACCTAATATCCCTTTCAGAGAGTCCACATAGCTAATAATGTTTATTTGGTATATTGGTTTGTAATCTCATTATACCTTTCAGAGAGTCCACATAGCTAATAATGTTTAATTGGTATTTAGGTTTGTCAACTCAGCATCCCTTTCAGAGAGTCCACATAGCTAATAATGTTTAATTGGTATTTAGGTCTGTCAACTCAGCATCCCTTTCAGAGAGTCCACATAGCTAATAATGTTTAATTGGTATTTAGGTT